TTATGAGGGTGGTTCTGATGGGTTATGGTGGGGTTATGAGGGTGGTTCTGATGGGTTATAGTGGAGTTATGAGGGGTGGTTCTGATGGGTAAGGGTTGATGATGGGTTTCTTCTGGGGTTCTGGTGGGTCCTGGTCCTGGTTTTAGTCCTGGTCCTTTCTCTGGTCCTGGTCCCGGTCCTGGTCCTGGCTTTAGTCCTGGTCCTGGCCCTGACCCTGGTCCTTTCTCTGGTCCTGGTCCTGGTCCTAGTCCTGGTCCTGGTCCTAGTCCTGGTCCTGGTCCTTTCTCTGGTCCTGGCCCTGGCCCTGGCCCTAGTCCTGGTCCTGGTATTTGTCCTGGTCCTGGTCCTTGTCCTGGTCCTGGCGCAGGTCCAGGTCCTGACCATTGTCCTGGTCCTGGCCCTGGTCCTGGTCCTAGTCCTGGTCCTGGTCCTTTCTCTGGCCCTGACCATGGCCCTGAACCTGGGCCTGGTCCTGGCTTTAGTCCTGGGCCTTTCTCTGGTCCTTGTCCTGGTCTTGGTCCTTTCTCTGGTCCTGACCAAGGTCCTAGTCCTTTCTCTGTCCCTGGCCCTGACCATGGTTCTCCCCCCCCAGGTTCCTGTACTGGACGGACTGGGGGGAGGTGCCTAAGATCGAGCGTGCTGGGATGGACGGGACCCTGCGCTCGGTCCTAGTCCATGAGGAAATCTACTGGCCCAACGGGCTCACGCTGGACTACGGCCAGCAGAAGCTCTACTGGGCCGACGCCAAGCACAACTTCATCCACCGCGCCAACCTGGACGGATCCCACAGGTACCGCCCCCGTCGCCTAGGAGACGACCTCTGACCTCTGGCCTTTAACCTGGCTTTTGTCGTGTCTGACCTTTGCCTTTGCCATAGCCTTTGGCCTGTGTGAACTTTGGCCTTTGGACTGACCTGTTGCCTTTTGCCTGCACTTTGATTTTAGTCCTAATCTTTGACCTTAGCCCTAATATGTGGCCTTTGGATTGACCTTTGACCTTAGACTTAATCTTTGACCTTAGCCCTAACCTTTGACCTTTGCCCTAACTAATCTGTGGCCTTAGCCCTAACCTTTGACTTTAGCCCTAACTAATCTGTGGCCTTAGCCCTAACCTTTGACCTTAACCCTAACTGACCTTTGACCTTAGCCCTAAACTTTGACCTAAGCCCTAACCTTTGACCTAAGCCCTAACATATGGCCTTTGCCCTAAACTGTGGCGTTTGTCCTTACCTTTGACTTTAGCCCTTATCTGTGGCCTCTTCCTTAAACTGTGACCTTAACCCTAACCTGTGGTCTTTAACTTTAGCCCTAACCTGTGGTCTTTGGACTGACCTTTGACCTTAGCCCTGCTCTTTGACGTTAGCACTAACCTGTGCCATTTGTCCTGACCTTTTACCTTAGCCCTAACCTATGGCCTTTGCCCTAAACTGTGGTGTTTGTCCTTACCTTTGACTTTAGCCCTAATCTGTGGCCTTAGCCCTAATCTGTGGTCTTTGGATTGACCTTTGACCTTAGCCCTAGACTTTGATCTTAGCACTAACCTGTGCCATTTTTCCTGACCTTTTACCTTAGCCCTAACCTATGGCCTTTGCCCTAAACTGTGGTGTTTGTCCTTACCTTTGACTTTAGCCCTAATCTGTGGCCTTAGCCCTAATCTGTGGTCTTTGGATTGACCTTTCACCTTAGCCCTGCTCTTTGACATTAGCCTTAACCTTTGACATTAGCCCTAACCTTTGACATTAGCCCTAACCTTTTACATTAGCCCTAACCTGTGGTCTTTGACTTTGACATTAGCCTTGCTCTTTGACGTTAGCACTAACCTGTGCCATTTTTCCTAACCTTTTACCTTAGCCCTAACCTTTGACCATAGCCCTGCTCTTTGATCTTAGCACTAACCTGTGCCATTTTTCCTAACCTTTTACCTTAGCCCTAACCTTTGACCTTAGCCCTACCCTGTAGCCTTTTCTCTTCCCTCTGCCCTGACCTCTCCTCTCCTTTTCCCTTACCCCCCCCCCCCCCCCCCCCCCCCCCCCCCCCCCCCCCCCAGGGAGGTGGTGGTGCGTGGGGAGCTGCCCCACCCCTTCGCCCTGACCCTGTTCGGGGACACGTTGTTCTGGACGGACTGGAACACGCACTCCATCCATTCCTGCCTGAAGCAGACGGGCACGCAGCAGCGCCTGGTGCACGCAGACATCTTCTCCCCCATGGACATCCACGCCTACAGCGCCCAGAGGCAGCCCACCGGTGAGGGGGGGGGCGGGACTAGGGTGGGGCCGTACTAACATGTTCAACTCCATACCCATACTCAGGAAAATACTCCATACCATTTTCAATACTACAAGGATAAAAGTTTTGAGTGCTTAGTGTCTTTGGTTTCAATCTGACCTGTTACTGATTTTATGGTGGCCCACATTAATGACCCTATCCCTGACCCTAACCATAACCCTAACCCTAACCCTGATCCTAACCCTAACCCTGACCCCAACCCTCCACCCTGAACCTAAACCTGACCCCTAACCCTGACCCTAATCCTGACCCTAACCCTGACCCTAACGCAGACATCTTCTCCCCCATGGACATCCACGCCTACAGCGCCCAGAGGCAGCCCACCGGTGAGGGGGGGGGCGGGACTAGGGCTGTCACCATAGTAACATGCTCAACTCCATACCGATACTCAGGAAAATACACGATACTCGATACCATTTTTATAGCACAAGGATAAAAACAAAGACCCCAAAATGTAACTGAATTTTGACAGGTTAGTGTCTTTAATTACCCTAACCCTGACCCTAATCCTAGGCGGGACTAGGGTGGGGCGGTACTAACATGTTCAACTCCATACCGATACTCAGGAAAATACTCGATACTCGATACCATTTTCAATACCACAAGGATAAAAACAAAGACCCCAAAATTTAACTGAATTTTGACAGGTTAGTGTCTTTAATTTCAAACTGACCTGTTACTGATGTTATGGTGGCCCTATTAATGACCCTAACCCTAACCCTGACCCTGACCCTGACCCTAACCCTGACCCTAACCCTTTTAAAGGAATTAATTAAATGTAAATAATGTTCCATTTCTGAGTGTGTGTGCTGTTCTAGTGACTGGTGGAGTAATCATGTAATAATTCCTTATGACTAGATTTTGTTTATAATTTTGTATATTGAAGTGGACATGTTAAGAGCAATTTGAAAGAAGAAATATAAAATATGATAAAAATACATTTTTGTGTTTATTTGATTCCTATTCAAGACACTTAAGATAAGATAAGAATAACTGTAGTGTTACTATAGGCCGCTACATATTTGTTTAACATTTTTGGTTGGTGGTGTGCCTCGGGATTTTTTCAATGAAAAAATGTACCTTGGCTTAAAAAAGGTTGAAAAACACTGTCCTTCCTAGTTGGTACCGGCCGTTACCTCACCTGTCCCCCCCCCCTCTGTTGGCAGCAGTGAGCAGCCCCTGTTCCCATGACAACGGCGGCTGTTCCCACCTGTGCCTGCTGTCCCCGGCCAGCCCCTTCTTCCAGTGCGCCTGCCCCACCGGCGTCCAGCTGCTGGAGGACCAGACCACCTGCCGGGACGGTAGGGACCGGGGGGGGGGGGGGTTAGTTTTAGTTTAAACAAGGACTTACGCCTAACCTGAAGCTGTTTAAACCAGGGTTTAGTCCAGGTTTAGCCATTTAAACCAGGGTTTAGTCCAGGTTTCTCTGGGTTTAGGGGGTAAATATCGGTTTAAACCAGGGTATATATTGTTTTTAAAACAGTTTTCTTTGGGTTTACTGGGTCAGTGTTGGTTTAAACACCTGCCCCACCGGCGTCCAGCTGCTGGAGGACCAAACCACCTGCCGGGACGGTAGGGACCGTTTAGTGTGACTGTTTTGGTTTAAACCAGTTTTAGGGTTAGTTATAACCAGCTTTCTTTGGTTTTAGTGGGTCATGTTTAGTTTAAAGCAGGACTTACACCGGCTCTAACCAGCTTTCTTTGGGTTTAATGTGACTTTTTTTAAGTTTAAAACAGAATTTGGATAGGTTTAGCACAAGTTTTTATTGGTTTTAGTGGGTCAATTACAGTTCAAACCAGGGTTTACACCAGCTCTAGCTATTTAAACTAGGGTTTAACCTGCCCCACCGGCGTCCAGCTGCTGGAGGACCAGACCACCTGCCGGGACGGTAGGGACCGGGGGGGTTACACTGGGTCAGGTTTAGCTAAACCAGGGTTTAAAACAAGCTCTGGCCATTTAAACCAGGCTTTCGGTTAATTTTCAACCAGTTTTCTTTGGTTTTATTGTGACTTTTTTGGTTTAAACCAAGATCTAAGTTACTTTTAGCCAGTTTTCTTTGGGTTTAGTGAGTCAATATCGGTTTAAACCAGGGTTTGGATTCATTTTAAACCAGTTTTCTTTGGGTTTAGAGGGTCAAGTTTGATTTAAACCAGGATATAGGTACATTTTAAACCAGTTTTCTTTGGGTTTAGAGGGTCAATATCGGGTCAAACCAATTTTGATTAATTTTAAACCTGTTTTTTTGGGGTTTACAAGGTCAATATTGGTTTAAACCAGGACTTACACCGGGTTTCTCTGGGTTTACTGGGTTCAAACAAGGGTTTAG